CCCCAAAACCCCAAAACCCCAAAACCCCTGACAATTCTCATCTCAGACAGGGAATTTCTAATTTAAAAAATAATTAATTTATCAAATTTAAATTTCATAATCTACTAACTTAATTTTTGAAATGAGCAATAAAGACGGCGAAAGTGAAGGTGATTTCGATGAGCAACAAAGTAATTGTCACTGAATGTCTTATGATTAATTTTAGTTGTGCAGGCAATATTAGAATTAGGAAATGAAATTCTAAGAAATCTAGGAGTTGAGGAAAGGATCGATGACCTAGGTGTATTCTTCGGGTAAGTAATAGCAACTAAACACTCGCATCTTCCAATTTTTATTTGATTTATCTAAAATTTTATATAGTGATGCATTTTACATTCAATTTTTCTAAGCTGCATTTCCTGATATTGATTTTTCAAACTTGCAGGAGGCAGACACTGAAGAGGGCTAAGCAGAAAATATTCAAAATCTAATTGATTTACTTGGAGGCTAAATTTTAAGATATGACCTTAGCCACATTAGGGGTTCTGAAATTGTAAATGGCAACCCTGAGCACTGCATTAATCTACTTTAACTAGTACAAGAAATATCTGTGATGCTTGACAATAGACAAGGCTAGTAAGATAGTGATGAAGAAGGAAATGGGCTAGAAGATCAAAGTGCTGAAGAAGAGGATGATGAGGCTTAAATAATTCATGAAAAGAAAAAAAAGGAATAGCAGCAGTAGCAACAGCTATAAGAGTAATAACAAAGACCTCAGTAGCAAAACCCAAAACCTCAAGATTCTAATAAAAAGTCTTAAGAAAAAAGAGGGAGAAGCTATTCTGATGACAGAGGAGGCAAAGATCTATTTGATTTAGAAGATGGAGATATTTCAAATGACTTTAATGTGAAAATGGACGAAGATGATGAAGATGAGGATGAAGATGTCAAGTAACTACATAACTAAATCAGAAATCCAAATTAATAGCAATAGCAGTAGGAAAATGAGTTTGAAGATGATTATTAAGATGACGATGATGATGAAGAAATTGATGAAAATGATTTAAAGATGTACGAGTAATTCCTAGCCCAAAATAAGTAAGAGTAGCAATAACTTGCAATGATGGGATAATAGGAAGATCTATAAAACTAAGATTCTCAGTTCGAAGATGATGATGATGAGGAAAACGCTCAAGAGCAATAGAAGTAATAGCAACGATAATAATAATAGTAATTAGAAGTCGATGACGAAGATGATGATGACCAAGAAATTGATCTTGATAATATTGATTATGATCAGATTGATCCATAAATTTTAGAGCTTGCAGAAAAAATGTAGGTTCATCCTAAAGAAATTCTCAAGCAAATGCTCCAACTTTAAAATGAAGGTTATGGTGACGAAGACGAAGAAGATGAAGAAGAAATGGATGAAGATGCGCTTAGAGAGCAGCTTAACTTAGCTTAGTAAAAAGAACTTAGTTCTAAACAAAAGTAGGCAGATTAGCAAAAGCAAGTATAATAGCAGCAGTAATAGTAATAGCAATAGAATTAGCAACCTAAAAAACAGCAGCAGCAAGTTTAAAGGAAGCCATTACCTCATGAATTAATTCAAGTAGATAGCGATCAAGAATCCTACTATTCAGAGAATGAGCTTATTACTAGAGATAAATTAGCTAATAGATAAACTTATTCTGCTCCTTACATTATTCTAAATGATTGCTTTGATGAGCCATTGTGTGACTCAGAATCTGAAAAGGAACTAGAGAGTGCAAACACCACTGGATACCTAAAAAATATTGAATATTAAGAATAGCTAGCAGAGTAAATGGCAAACGAAGAGGTCGACCCAAAAACTGCTTAATTACTTAAACAGTAACAAGAGCAATAAGAAATGATTCGGCAGTAATAAATGATGCAATAGCAATAACAATAACAGCAATACTAATAACAGCAGCAACAACAAAAATAAAATTCTAGAATAAATGAATCAAACTAAAGTAATCAAAACAAGAATAAGCAGATAAGTTCCTCGGACTAAAAGAAATAGTAAGCTAGATAGCAGCAGATCTTTAATGATGAGGATGATGATGATGAGGAACTTGACATTGATGTTGGATAAAAACTATAACAATTGAAAAACTAGCAAAATGATGAAGAAGATGATAATTAGGAGGGAGAAGGTGAATATGACGAAGATATGCTAGTTGACTTGGACTAATTAGATGACACCAATAAATAGATGCTGTTGGAGTATCTTTAGTAGGAATATGAGAAAAATCCAGATTAATTCCCTTTCCCAAAAGAGCTACTTGAACAATAATAATAGAACTTCAAGAAATAATAAGAATCATAAAAAAGACAAGATACTGAATCGGTAAGAGATATCAAAAGTGATGAAATGATAGTTGAGGAAAATTCTCAGCAATAAAATAATATAGTAGGTGGAGAGCAAGAAATTGAGCAGCAAGATGATTATGATGAAGACGAAGAAATATCACCTGAATAGTAATAGTAATTTTAGTAAATGCAAATGCTAATGCAACAGTAGCAGTAATACTAAAACTAAAACTAGCAAGACGAAGACTACGGAGAAGAATAAGATGATAACTAGCTTGATGAAATCTAATAGCAGATGCTCTTACAATATCAATAGCAGTAAATGATGTAATAATAGCAACAATAACAGCAGAAAGCTGCAAATAAAAAACCAAAAGCAGTTAAAAAAGGATTGAGACCAAAGAGTGCTGGAGTTAAAAAGAAGACTCAGTAACCATAAATGATTCCACCTGCATAACTTTAGGCCAATCAATTACCCTACGATCAACAGCAATAGCTAATTGAGTATCTAAGATAAAATGGCATCGATGCTGAAAACAATGATCCAAATCTAGAATATATTTAACAGATGATTCTCGCTCAGTAACAATAAGAAATGGAATCTATTTCCTAATCAAAATCTACAAGACCCAGGACTGCTGCTAAAAGGAATACTTCTTTAAATAAGAAAAAACCATAACTAACTTCTGGGAAAAACATGAAGAAACTTATGCCCTATTAAATGCCCAAATCAATCAGAGGACTTGGGCCTATCACGCCAAGCACTCAATACAAGTCATTTAATACAAACAGGAGTTACAATTAAACTTTCAGCAAAAAAAAGAGGCCTAAGAGCTCTGGAAAGAAATAAGCATTATCAGTAAACCCTAGTTAAAATCAATATCAGGTACCTTAGGAGTAATTCAATGCATAACCATTCTAGCAATATGAAATGCCTGTCTATAATGAAGAATACCTAAACCAGTTATCTGAAGAGCAATTACAAGAATTGTTGGAACAGCAAAAGCAAATGATGATGCTAAACTAGTAATAGGCAAATTAAATAAATACTCAAATGAAAAAGTCCCTGAGACCAAAATCTGCAAAGACTACAAAGAGTCTGAAGCAAAAAATACCGCAAACTTACGCAACATACAACTAACCATTCCTTAATTTAAAGAAGAAAAATACTTTAGGAAAAGGAAAAAAGAAGAAGAAGAAGAGAATTACTATTTAATAATAGTTTGATCATTAAGGAGTTCTAATGAATAATTACTTCCCAGCTTTAGAGTCTGGAAACTAGCTTATCGCTAATAGCCAACTCACAGAGGAGGGAACGATCTCTAAAGATTCAAAATATCCTAAATTTTCTAATGAATTAGCCAATAATCCTAATATTTTGGCAGCAGGGCCAATCCAATAAGATCAAATTGATGAAGTTTCACCAGAACAAGAAGAAGGTGAAAGCCAAGAAATCATATAAAGACATCCTAATTTCTATCCTCAAAAGTAGTAGCTTTAATAATAGTTCAACTAAGTGGCTTAGGACTAGGATGGAGAATATGATGACGATTAATAGCATGATTAAGATCAGGACATTGAGCAAGATCATTTAGACTAAGACTAATAAGATCCGACTGGCGAATAGGATGATACTGATAATTAATAATAAGAAATTGAACTCACAGATGAATAATTGATCTAGCTAATTCAAAATGCTCATAATTTATCCCCAGAGCAGCAACTTCAACTTCAATAGATACTGCAGCATAAAATGAAAAATGAAATTATGAATGAAAGGGCACAGTCCTATCAAAATATCTATCAAATTCTAATGGATAATGTTAGAAAAGCAAAGGATAGACTTGCCCACTTAGCTCATCCTCACGGCTCTATTGATGATGTTGAAGAAACAGATAGAAGAATCCTTAAATAAAAGTAGGAATTTGAAGCATTATATAGATAGTACCACATGGAGATGAAATAAAAGGAGATGAGAAAGAAATAAGATGAATCAAAATCTTAGAAAAAAATCTAGAGAGAGGTTAAAATACAAACTATCAAAGAAAAGAAGTTCTAGGACGAGTTGCTAAACCATTAAAAGAGCTTAAACTACAAGAGAAATGCCCAGCAAGTCAGACTGTGCCAAAAGGTCTACAAATTAGCTTCAGAACTTGAGAAGAATAAGCTACTTGCTGAGAAGAAAGACTTCAAGGAAAACATCTAGAAGAAAAAACAGCAAAGCAAGCTGATGGTAGATGCATTAGAGAATTTTTATAAAAATATGATCACAATGCTTAAGGAAAAGATAGAAAATGAGAAATTCGAAAGAAGAATAGCTTCATAAGCATAATAATAGGTAATTTAATTATATTTTTATAATTTCTAGGCTATGTCAAGGATGAAGAGAGAACTTAATCATCAGAAGAAGCAAGAGGTCGAGAGATACTTGCAGCTTCTGAAGCAGGAAGATGAGAGATATGACTTTGAAAGTACTAATCTCCAGAAGATGGAGCAGGAAATAATTAAGTTGTATCAGAAGTGATAGAGTTGATGGTGACTATATACTTGATTAAATTGATTGATTAAATTAGGCAAAATCTACTTTTAAGTTGTTTATAAAATTTTATTTAAATAAAGGCTTAAATCATAAGCACTTCTAATCTTGATGCAGTCTCAGAACTTTTGGACCAAGGGGTTCTCGTTTAGCACGTTATTGAAGTCGGTGATTTTCCAGTCGAAGGAGGCTTTATTGGGGACTGAGAGTATTTTGAAGAGATCATTCCATCTGAGGTTAGTTTCGAATCTAACAACATTCTTGACTAATTCATCGTCTGTTGACCCAAACAACACTGAAGAGAAGTTTTGGTTCTGAACGAACAGTTTCATTGGTGATTCTATCAGTACAGTAGCAGCAATTAGATAAGGTTTGTAGTCATTATCTAAATGGTCAAGGAAGCTTCTTGTGTCATTCTTAGGAATGTAAACAGTTTGAGGTGCTCCTAATAATGATGACTTCGATATATTATATTGACTTGCTGGGAGATTCTTTGATCTCTAGACATTGACTCCATGGTGAACCTCGACTTTTAAAGTTCTTATCCTGGGTTGTTCAACGGTTAGGTTTGCCATCTCAATGTCTAGACCGTGGAAATGAATTCTCTTAACGCTCTCTTTAAGATAGTGAGCCATATTTCCCTCACATATTTTATCCATATTGAGATAATTAGGGACAGCACAAACCTAATGGAATTCTCTGAATAAAGCATTGAACTCATTGATTGCATTTGCTTGAATGAATTTATACCAGTAGCTTGAGGGCGTGAGAGCCTTGTGACTTTCGAAGTCGCTTATAATCTCTTGGAAATTCCAGGGGAAGGACAGAACATAAGCATGCTTCTTCTCATCGAAACTCATGTCTACTCCAAGTCTCTTGTTTTTGTCATTCAAATCGATAGCCTGCTGTTCTTGCTAGTTTACTTAGAGAGTATCTGCGAAGCTTCTTGATTAGGCATTCATCAAAGTCTGAGATTGTCTCATGACTACTGGAGCAAATCTTCTTGAATTGGAAAATGTGTTGAGGAGAAGGGCCTTATGATAAGCTTATTTCCAAATTTATTACATATTTTCTATTATAATTCATGTTCCTTTAATTATTAATGTATTATCAATAATCATTGAAATAGGGGTTTTGGGGTTTTGGGGTTTTGGGGTTTTGGGGTTTTGGGG